AGCAGGAAAATTACACTGGAAGAAAAATCACCAACAGAAGTATACATGTGGATATCAAAATGGACACTAAAAATTCAAGGCATGCTTTGAAGTTGCCCTTATCTGAAATTCAAAAATTAAGACCTACTTGCTCTTGTTTCCCCATCTTCAGCTGAGATGTAATCATGAAGTAGCAGAACTAACAGCATCTGAAAAAATGTTACCATCTGTGCCATGTGTATTGTATTCTCAAAGTGTTGAGATAAAACTAGATGGGGAAAAATGAAAAGAAAATACAGTGTTATTACATCACAAAACAAATCCAACCTTCTGCAGTTTAAAAACTGTGCATTAGGAAGAACTTTGAATAGATCTGTAAGCCCAGATGTGGCCACCCTGCAATGAACCATTGACCCAAAAAGTGTCAGTCAGGCATGTAAGTCCAAAATCGAGATATTAAACACAACAACACTCACCAGCTCTTCTGTAGAGGCTCAGTTTTCACCAAGACACATTTATACACTTCTCCCACTAGGCACATTCACAAGTAGTTTATATTCCCAGTCCCAGTCACATTTATTCAAACACTATCCCACTCTGCAGCAATTATTCAAAGACTTGACAGCCTGATCCAAAATGTGGCAAGTGTTTATGTATCACAGACTCACAGAGTCAGTCAGGTTGGAAGGGACCACAATGGTCATCTGGTCCAACCTCCCAACTCCAGCAGGGCCAGCCCAGAGCTCATGGCTCAGGGTTGTGTCCAGATGGGTCTGGAATATCTCCAGTGAGGAGAATCCACGACCTCTCTGGGCAATCTGTTCAGTGCTCAGTGACTGCACAGGAAAAAAGTTCTTCCTCATATTCAGGTGGAACTTCCTGGGCATCAGTTTTTGCTGTTCCCTGTTTGCCCCACTGAGTCTGATCCATCCTCTTGGCACTTCCCATTCATGGACTTGAATCCATTAATGAGGTCAATGTGTCAGGTACTGGCAGGGTAAATTTTTAAACTCTTTTTTAAACTCTTCAGACAGAGAATCATAGAAGCATCAGGGTTGAAGGAGACCTCTAAGGCCATCAAGTCCAACCATTAACCTGTCACTGCTGCAACCCCTAAACTCTAAACCAGATCCTCCAGTGCCAGATCCAGATGCCTCTTAAACACCTCCAGGGATGGTGACTGCACCATCTCCCTGGGCAATCTATTCCAGTGCCTCCAGTTTTCCTAACATCCAATCTGACTCTCCCTTGTCTCAGCTTATGACTATTCCCTCTCTCCTCTCCCTGCAGCCCTGGCAGGACACACATCCCACACCTCTCTCCAAACCTTTTCAGGTAGTTGTAGAAAGCCATGAGGTCTTTACAGCTTTGATATATATACTGCTCAAAGTATTATGCAGATTATATAAAGGAGCATATATATACTGCTCAAAGTATTATGCAGGTTATAGAAAGGAGCCGAGTGAATTAAAGAATTTATCATCTTTTCAGCTGATTTTGGAAAGAAGGCTTTGTATCAACTGAATAAAGGCTTTACAGCAACTTCAGTGCTGTACACTGAAGACCAAAGCAAGCAGCTGATCTCCATTACAACCCAAGCATGAAGAAATTATATTTCTGAAGGCAAATAATCTTCTAAAGTGGATGGGCTGTTTATTTTTCATATGATTTCATATGACTCAGTAAAGCACACAAACCCACAGATTCCTCCAGCCTACAGCAGAGAAAGTTTGCATTCATGCTCCAACATCTCAAGTCACAGAAGATTTGTATTGTGAAACACAATTTGTTCTGGAACTTTGAATTTTGTTGGATTTATTCCCACTCCAAGAGGATGTTGTGCCAGGAACTGGCCATTAGTTATTACAGGTTAAAGAAAAAGGAGGCTTATCACAACATTTGAGCTTCTGGACTAACAGGACTGACTAGAAAACAATATAGGATGGGCATTTGAGCTTCTGGACTAACAGGACTGACTGGAAAACAACATAGGATGGGCAACATATGTAAGCAACCATATTGGCAGCTCAGAGTTCTGGCTGCAACAAATGAATTTGACATCTCCCAGGAAATCATGATTTCATCCTTTCTGTGAAAAGCCTGTGCTGTTATTTCTCTCTTTATCAAACATCCTGAGATTCCACAGAATATTCCCTTCTTGGGCAGACCCAAGAAAAACAAAACAGCTAATTGATAGGATAAAATCCAACACTCCAATTGTACAGTTGAAATTAACCTTTAATTAAGGATTCTGCTTAAGAAGTGTTTTAACCTATTCCTATGGGAAATTCAAAAGTTCAAATTTTGAGTGTGCACATGTGTGAGTATCTATGTTACCAAACAGGAAAACAGAAAACAATTTAATACAAATCACAGAATCATCAAGGTTGGAGAAGAACTCTAAGATCATCAAGTCCAACCATTAACCTGTCACTGCTGCAACCCCTAAACTCTAAACCAGATCCTCCAGTGCCAGATCCAGACAGCTCTTAAATACTTCCAGGGATGGTGACTCCAACACCTCCCTGGGCAATATCCCAGTGCCTGAACATCCTAACAGTGAAAACATTTTTTCTAACATCTAATCTGACTCTCCCCTGGCTCAGCTTATGACTACCTGTTGTAATAGTTAGGGAGACCATTTTGTCTGTGCTAAGGAACATAGAGTTCAATTTGGCCTGTGACAACTGTTTGCAAACAGAAGGGAAACAGTCATTGGGGCACATAATGCAACAAACAGAAAATATATAAAATGCATATTTGTACATACATATAAATTGTACAAACATATAAAATAATGAATAATATGTATATGCATATTGAACTACATAAAATGATATATAACTTAGCAATCAAACCACTATAGTAATTGGCTCAGGTCTTAGAGAATCATATAATCAACCAGGTTGGAAAAGACCTCAAAGATCATCAAGTCTATCCCTACTGTGGTTACTAGACCATGAGTGTTGATAAAAAGAGGCATAAAAGGAACATAAAAATGGAATCAACCCAAGTGAGAACTTCTAATGTAATTAAAAGATTGCTTTAGGATCATGCCTAGCTGCCAAGAGATACACAGAACTGCTCATCCTTTGCTGCTGAAGTCTCAAAGTCCTCAGAAAAGCAAGACAGCCTCAGAAACACTGCCAGTGCTACCAGATTCAGCTAGGTCCTGGTATATCAGACACACATTTCTGCCAATAGCTCCTCACCCACTTCTTTCATTTCCCCTTACATTTGTTTTCTTGTCCTCTTTTTATTTTTGGTCTCTACTTTTAAAAAAGGGAGGGTAGAGCTGACTTAGCTAAAATGCTATTTACAATGTGATGACTGCAATATTTGCCATGAGAACAAGAGAGAAGCAGTAGGAAATACATAATAGGTGGTCTCAAATGTTTGCTGTGTGAAGGAATAAAGAAGTCAATGGGCTTTGTTTGACTCCTGCAAGTAAGGACCAGCATCAGAAATTGAAATTATATTGTTGTGTCCTCCTTTCTTTTTCTATTCCTCTTTCTTACCACTCAAACAGGTTTGGATTCTAGCACTGAGCTCATCAGTGCTATTCATTATCTTTTGCCACAAATTATACTTCGTGCTACTCTCAGTGTTAATTTAAGTACTGTCCAAAGCTGGAGAGGATCAGAGTGATGACACAGACCTCAACTTTAGCCAAAGGTTACAAACTATATCTGAAAGCTTAGTCCTTTGCAATTCTTTATCTGTCCTCTCTCTTCACTCCTCATTTCCAGAAACATTCAATTAAAGGCAAATCAGATTAAGCTTTTGTTTTTCATAGCAATCCATAGCCACAGGAAAAGCTGATTAAACTATCTGTTCAAGCTTCAAAACTTGATTTTGTTGGTTTATACTATAAAACAAATGGATATTTATTCCATTTAACTTAGCAGAGCCTTTAGACTACAAATAAAGGGATCATGAAGTCAACTGACCTCTAAAACATTTGATTATATGATATCATTTTAATAACAATATATAAACTCCCTGACATCAAATCAAGCAGAATCATATAAAATAAACAGGCAAAAGAGATTTTTAGGTCTTCCAGTTCTATGTTTTTTAAATGATAGGGTTCTTTGTCCTTAGTCTTGTTTTCACTGAAAATATTGACAAGCCATTCAAAGGAGGCTGTGATGGCTGAAGGAATGGCAAGAGTAGAAATTCTAGAGGAGTTTAGGACCTGAACTAGTGAAAACCTTGAAAGAACTCCAGTTGTATTCAGTGGAGCTAAATCAAACCCTTAAGATTTTAAACAGTTTGAGGGAAGAAAAGAAGAAATTTAGCACATTCATGCTCAAAAGGAAAGTATAAACATTTGCTGTTTAAGTACATCCAAAATTTGGTACTTTGAGAAACACTTCCAGTTCCAGATATGGTATAGTCCCAAGCAAAAATTAAAACCATGCAGGATTTGCATGCTTAGCTGCTTTACACCTGCAACAAGTCTAAAGATATTCCAGCAAGTATTCCAGCTCATTTCCTTGACACTGTGATGACTGTTACAGTCTGTTACATGAAGACAATTCTTTTTATGACATTTACAAAGTATAAAATCCCCTCCTGGTCCTGCCATATGGTTTTCCTTCAGTCCACCAGGCAACTAAGGACACAGAGCTGCAGAGTTGAGCAGCTGATGATTGGACAAATCACACCAAGAAGGTTCTGCAACTAAACAACCCATGTCTCCACAGAAAGAATTCCACAGAAAATTCCTGTGTATTTCTTTGCATTCAGCTTTGCTTCACACAGGTAAATAGCATTAAGGAAAAATATGAATACAGTAAACAGATACCATACAAACCTCTCCCTGGAGAAGTCCTAGGGGCCAGTGAGCTTTTTTTTTAAAAAAAATTTTAGCATGCTTGCTATTGTAAGATCCCAGATTAATTCCCTATTTTTACTCAAAAGCCTTACACTTCTATGGTGGGTTGACCCCAACTGGACACCAGGTGCAGACCAAAGCTATACTATCCCTTCACTCCTCAGATGGACAGAGTAGAGAAAACATAACCAAGGGCTCATGGGTGGAGATAAGGGCAGGGAGAGATCACTCACCAGTTACTGTCATGGGCAAAACAGATTCAACTTAGGGAAAAATTAATTTATTACCAATCAAATCAGAATAGGACCATAAAAAGCAAAGCAAATCACCTTCCCTCCACCCCTCCCTTCTTCCCAGGTTCAACTTGACTCCCAAATTCTCTACCTCCTTCCCCCA